CATGCGCCACCATGCCCGGCTAATTTTTGTGCTTTTAGTAGAGATGGGGTTTCTCCACATTGGCCAGGCTGGTCTTGAACTCCCGACCTCAGGTGATCCACCTGCCTCTGTCTCTCCATCTCTCTTTGTCTCTCCTTCTCTCTCTGTCTCAACAATTCACTCTAGCATCAACCTCCTGGGCTCAAGTGATCCTCCCACCCCAGCCTCTGGAGCAGCTAGGACTACAGGTGTGCACCATGATGCCTGGATAGTGCTGATTTTTAGTAGAGATTGGGTCTCACCGTGTTGCCCAGGCGGGGCTTGAACTTCTGGACTCAAACAGTCCGCCCGAGTTGGCCTCCCAAAGTACTGGGATTACAAGCATGAGCCCCCACACCTGGCCTGTTATTCTAATACAGATTCATTTAAGCCTCACAACAACCCTGTGACATAGGAACTGTTACCAGTATCATCGCCCATTTTCCAGATGAGGAAATGGAGGCACAGAGAAGGTCTGCTGCTAGGCTCTGCTGCCGCCAAAGACAATGTCAGTCACTCCCAAGCTGACCCCATGGAACTTTTTGCTTCCAGGTGAGAATCATGACCTTCCAGGTGAGGTGAGGGGACAGGTGCGAAAGCCCTCATGTTTTCCAAGCCCCGAGCTCTGTGTGTCCCTCCTTGAAGCAGAGACCTTACTCATCTTCCTGCGCCCAGACTCTACCCACCCCTCCGCTTTTTCTTTTAAGATGCAGTTTCACTCTGTTGCCAGGCTGGAGTGCAATGGCACGATCTCAGCTCACTGCAACCTCCGACTCCCAGGTTCAAGAGATTCTCCTGCCTCAGCCTCCCGAGTAGCTGGGATTACAGGCGCCCATCACCATGCTGGGCTAATTATGGTATTTTTAGTAGAGATGGGGTTTTATCATATTGTTCAGGCTGGTCTTGAACTCCTGACCTCAGGTGATCCACCTGCCTCAGCCTCCCAAAGCGCTGGGATTACAGGTGTGAGCTGCCACAAACACCTGTCATCCCTCTTTGAAGCTGAGACCTTATTCATCTTCCTACACCCAGACTCTACACCCCCACTTCTTTGCGCTTGTTAAGATGAAGGTGTCCCTTGTCCCATTCTGCACCCTGGACCGCATCCTGTCCCATCTTTGCCCTTTTACCTGTGAAATGTTGGCGCATTGCTTCACCTCTCCCAGCCTCAGCCTCCTCTTCTGTGGAATGGGATGATGCACAGAACCTGTGGTGGGTTTAAGGAGATTGTGCATGGGGGGGGGAGTCCCCATCACTGCCAGCTGCTGTTAGCGCAGGCCTCACTTGCTCTCCTGTGCCCCCGTAGTCAGGGTCCTGCTGCTCCTCCCGAAACCTCCCCTCCTTGCATCCGGACTCTCCTTGACTCAGTTTCCCACCTCCCACTCCAGATCACCAAATCAGCGCACCTTCTGCCCCAACACCTTCCACAAACCTGTTCTCTGTTCTCACTCATCAAAGCCTAAAGCCTAAAGCCAAAGGTCATTTTTTTTTTTTTTTTTGAGACAGGCTCTTGCTCTGTCACTCAGGCTGGAGTGCAGTGGTGCAATCATGGCTCACAGCAGTCTCAACCTCCTGGGTTCAAGCAGTCCTCCTGCTTCAGCCTCCCAAGTATCTTGGACTATAGGTACATGCCACCAGGCCTGGCTAACTTTTTTGTTTGTTTCTGGGTTTTTTTGTTTTTTGAGACGGAGTCTTGCTCAGCCACCCAGGTTGGAATGCAATGGCTTGTTCTCAGCTCACTGCAACTTCCACCTCTCAGGTTCAAGAGATTCTCCTGCCTCAGCCTCCCGAGTAGCTGGGATTACATGTGCACGGCACCACATCTGGCTAATTTTTAATATTTTTAGTAGAGATGGGGGTTTCACCATGTTGGCCAGGCTGGTCTCAAACTCTTGACCTGAGGTTATCCATCCACCTTGGCCTCCCAAAGTGCTGACATTACAGGCGTGAGCCACCGCGCCTGGCCAACTTTTAAAGTTTTTGTAGACACAAGGACTTACTATGTTGCCCAGGCTGGTCTTGAACTCCTAGGCTCAAGCGATTCTCCCGCTCTGGCTTCCCAAAATGCTGGGATTAGGACCATGAGCCACCACGCCGCAGGCCTATGGGACTTCCGGTTGGGTGCGGCCAGTGGGAGGCGGTGGCAGGAGACTGGAAGGTGGGGGTGGAGTGAGGTTGAGCCTCCCCCGCGCCCCACTCCCCAGCGCGGGCTGGCGATGACTGTACTCTTTACAGACCCAGGTATACGTCTCTGCACCCTTGGGTGCCTCTGCTCACCCCTTCTAGCCCAGGTATGGCAACTGCTCCCTCTGCTGGTAGCCCTGCAGTACTGCACCTTCCATCGTTTTCCCCAACCCTGCCCACTCCTCAGTAGCCCTTTCACCCAGTTCCCCCTGGCTGCTCCGTTTGAAAGAACACACCACCTCTCTCCTGCCAGGATGCTTTCCCTGAACTCCCTCATCCAGCCCCATCCATTCTCTCTCAACCACTCCCTTCTCACCATCCGCTTCTCATCCCCCTACTTCTTCTCTCACCTCCTTTTCTGCCCTTGTCCCTGCTGCAGCCTCGTCCCTGGTCTCCCAGCCACCAGTAGCCAGGAGGAACGTTTGCTAAAATACATCAGGTGATATCAATCGCCTGCCTCCCTCTCCTACTTAAATCCCTTCCAAAGGTTCCCTTTGCTCTTAGGATAAATCCAAGCTCCCTGGTGTGGCTGATAAAGTCTCTTAGGATTTGTCTTTAAGTTCACTCCCGACGCACCCCATACCCTGTTCATGATAACCATTTGCAGGGCTCTGAAAAAGCCACTATCTCACAAGTCTGCACACCTTTACACAGGCTGTGTCCTTTGGCACCACACACACACACACACACACACACACCCTCTTCCTGTAGGATCTGAGAAAATTAGTTGCTTTATTTAGGAAACCCCATCAATCCCAGCTCTTTGGCTCAGGCAATTGAGCATCTTTCTATTTCGTGTTCCCAGGATGCCTCATAAAGAGGAACAGAACAGTCTGTGGCTGATGCACGGGGGCGTGGCTAGTGGAAGCCCGTGATTGAAGCAGTAAGGCGTGGCTGAAGCGCGACTGATGAGTGGGGGTGTGACTAGTGAAAGAGCTGGGCTGATGGACGGGGGCGAGGCTAGTGGAAACCCGTATAATTAACGTATGGGGGCGTGGCAAGTGGAGGAGCTTGGCTGAATGGGGGCGTGGCTATCGGACGCCCAAGACCAATGGATGGGGGTGTGGCCAGCGGAGGAGCTAGGATGACGGATGGGCGCGCGGCTAGTGGAAGCCCAAGATTGATGGATGGGGGTGTGGCTAGTGGAAGAGCTAAGATGACAGTGGGGGCGTGGCTAGTGGAAGCCCTTGACTGATGATAGGGGTGTGGCTAGTGGAGGAGCTAGGCTGACGGATGGGGTCGTGGCTAGAGGAAGCTCATGACTGATGGTGGCGTGGCGAGTTGAAGAGCTTGGCGGCTGGACTGGAGCGCAGCTGCTGGATGTGGGGGCGTCCTGCAGACGACCCGCGGGCCGCAAAATCCCGGACTACCTGGTTTAACGGATGTGGGTAAAATGGCCCACATCTCAGTCAGAAACCTCAATAGCCCCCTCCTCCTGAATCCCAGCTTCCCACGGGACTTTTTCAGGCAGAATTTCAAAGTTTTATGGCAACTTTTACAGAAATCACAGAAAAGAGACAGCGACTGATGCTGATGAGCTGGGGGAGAAGGAGAGTGGGTAACGGGTCTGGGAGGTTGGGGCTGAGCACAACAGGACGATAGAATGCTGAAAATCTGTGGGAAGCAGAAAGTTATGGGGGTTGCTGGGTCATCCTAGGGGCCCAAGAAGTGGGTGGCACTGCCCAATGTGTCCTTTGGGCAGGAAACATCAACAGTAAGAAAATGCAGATGGCCTACCAAAGATGGATGGCCTCCAAAGTTAAAAATGCCCACCCAGGTCCCTTGGCCCAGTCCCATCCCCCCACCCACCCCCAACCCCCATCAGGCAGAGATGTGGCAGCATTTGCTGGCTTGTAGCATTGGTCCTCTGGGACCCTCGGTCTCCTCTTCGAGGGTCCTGCCCGGATTTGCTGGCACTGAGGGCAAAATGAACCTTCCAGATTGTCAGGGGAGATCAGCTGACTCCCTTTGATTCCCGGCCTCCTCCCCAAAGCCGGTTCTCAGGGCTGAGGGAGTCTGCTGCCCTCTCAAAAGTTAAGTCTATCACCCCCTTTTCCCAAGACATGCACCCTCCCGTGTCCCCCCTCCCACAAACACACTATGTACACACACAGGCCCCTCCCTCCAAGGCGTGGCTGGGCTCTCAGAGGTAGTGGAGAGCGAGTGGGGGCCCTGGAATGTCTGAAGTTGCAGATTCAAAATGTGCCTCCTCCAGCTAAGCCCTGGGACTGAAACCCCAAACTTCTCCCCTCCCATCTCCGAGCCTGGAGAATGAGTGTCCTCCCGAGAACCCGAGTAGAGGGATTGGAAGGTGTGTGGCTTGCACACCCACAGCTCCTCCCTACCGGGGCTGAGCGGAGCTCCCTGAGGGCTGTGGGGAAGGGCTGGGATCTGAGACAGTCTGTGAGAGCCTCCTTCGAGGGTTCCCCAGGGAGGGTAGGTTCTGAGGCTCTGGGGCATGGGGTGAGGTGGGGTGGGGGGGGGGTCACTAGGGGAAGGGAGACTTTGGGGGCAGAGCCAAAGTCTGAGTGACCAGGGAGAGAGACGTTAAAATCCCCAGGATGGGCCGGGTGTGGTGGCTCACGCCTGTAATCCCAGCACTTTGGGAGGCCAAGGCAGGTGGATCATCTGAGGTCAGGAGTTTGAGACCAGCCTGACCAACATGGAGAAACCCCATCTCTACTAAAAATACAAAATTAGCCAGGCGTGGTGGCGCATGCCTGTAATCCCAGCTACTCGGGAGGTTGAGGCAGGAGAATCACTTGAAGCCGGGAGGCGGAGGTTGCAGTGAGCCCAGATATGCCACTGCACCCAGCCGGGGCAAGAGTGAAACTCTGTCTCTCCCCGCGCCCCCCCCCCCTTAGAATCCTCAGGATGTCACTGGGGGTGGCTTCCTGGGGAGGGGACTAGGGTGGAAATTCTCCCAGGGGTGTAGATGGTCACCGACAGGATGGGCCAGATTGGGGTCACCGCAGGGGAGGAACTGGGGAGGCTCCCGAGGAAGAGGGAAGGCTGAGCTACTGGGGACAGAGGACAGGGACGATCAAAGCCCGGAGCTGGGTGGGGAGGGAGGCCGAGTCCCAGGAGGGGAGGCTGAGTCTGGAGGGAAAAGGAGACCAGGGTCCAAGAGCAGGTTCGGCGGAGCATCCCAGCCCCGGGCGGGCGGTGAGGCCGAGTCTCTGCGCAAGGCCCTAGAAGCCTCGGATGTGGCAGTACGCCTCCAGGCTGGCGAAGAGGATGTACAGGAGCCACAGGCCCAGGAAGAGCGCGGTGGTGGCGAGCTTGGGTCCGCGCGGGCCGCCCAGCTCGCCGCCGATGTGCGGCCGGCGCCGGTACAGCAGCACGGCGATGCCCACGAAGGCGAAGACGGTGAAGAGCGTGACGGAGAAGGCCAGCGTGCCGGTGCGCACCTCGAAGGGGCGGCCCTGCACCGCCCAGTACACGGCGGCCACCGACCAGGCGACGCCCAGGCCCAGGAACACGTTCACCGCGTTGGAGCCGGTCACGTTGCCGATGGATGCGTCTGCGCACTGGTCCTGCAGCGCCGCCACTTTGCTGGCGAACGTGTCTGCGGGGCAGAAGCACGCGGGTCGGAGGGGCTCTGCGCCACCCACGGGGGCGCGCATCCGCCTGCTCCCTCCCGGCCTTCCCCGGTTGCCTGCTTTCTGCCGGCAGGGTGGGTTTAAGACCCTGACCCCCACCCAAGAGGCGAAGTCCATCTCCACGCCTAGGCCTGCTCGCCACTGGAACCGCCGCCTGCTGTTTGTGGGACTCACTGCCTGATTTTTATGGGACTCTCAGTCAACCTTTTTTTTTTTTTTTTTTTTTTTTTTTTTTTTTTTTTTTTTTTTTTTTTTTTTTTTTT